GGTGATACAAATAAAAAAAATGATGTTTAATATGACTTAAAATTATTAAGCAATTGAATGCACCAGCACTTTCCCCTTAACAAGTAAAATTATCTGGTATTGGACTGGGTAAGATAACAAAGTAGGGCATAGTGTTCCTTAATTAATTACTTATAATAAAGGTTTAAATGCTGATTTTTTTTGAAAGTGTCAGAGTGGCAACTGGCAGGGTACTGAAAAGGTAGGTTGTGCACATGCATCCTAAATAAATACTGCTACAAAAACCTGGTAGTTAACAGTTAAAACCGATCACGGATTTCATTATTTCAAAGTATATAAAACAAAACAAGTCGGGAAAAGGATTTTGAACCCAAGATATGAGACAAAATTACAGTATGAGAATGAGTTTGAATATAAAGAACAACAAAAAAGAGGATACAAAACTACTGTGATATTGTTGAAATTAGCAATATTACAACATTTGTTGTTTATAACGGTAGTTGTTGACATAATGTTTATGTATTTATGCTTTTCCATCGAAATGGCAACTGAGTTAAATTTGCCCGAAGCAGCCCAAGCTTTGGTAAGGTAGAATTTAAAAAAAGTAAAACAAATAAAACTTTCGTTAATCTTACCTGAAAACAAGAAATATAATAATCCTCTCGAGTGAATTGTTTCATCTACAAGCAGACTAAAAACTTAAAACTAACACACTTTTTCCTCGACTGCAAAAATATCAAGATTTTCAGTCGAAACTCGAAAATTATTGATCAAAATTTGTGCAAAAACCAGGGGGGTGAAGGATTTTATTTCAAGCGTAGGATCGCGGTTGGTCAGTGGTAATTGCCATGAGCCGGAGGAACCAATTGGCGTCAGCAAACATGAAAATCCGCCATGTTTTTGGCGACACTTTTTTGACTGACGAGAGATAGGAGCACCTCCTCCAGTAATATTATAGCTCAGTGGGTTAACATAGCCCTAAAATTTTAACTCCACCAAAAAGCAGTAATAGGGGAGTTATTTTAACTCCCTGAAAATCTGTTACTCCTCTCACAGAGTTACTTTAACTCCAAATTTGGAGTTAAACTAACCTTAAAATTTTAACTCCACCAAAAAGGAGTAATAGGGGAGTTATTTTAACTCCCTGAAAATAACAGTGTATATAGCCTCACTTTTTTGCTGTTTTTGGCCCACTTATGAAAACTGACATAAGTGGCTAAAAATGGACGAAAAGTTAAGGCTATAGCCTTACTTTTTTGCTGTTTTTGGCCCACTTATGAAAACTGACATAAGTGGCTAAAAATGGACGAAAAGTTAAGGCTATAGCCTTCCTTTTTTGCTGTTTTTTGCCTCTTTTTCAATAATTGAAAAATCAGCTAAAAATGGGCGAAAAGTAAAGGGTATATATAGCCTTACTTTTTTGCTGTTTTTTTCCTCTTTTTCAAATCGGCTAAAAATGAAGGAAAAGTAAAGGCTATATAGCCTTACTTTTTGGCTATGTTTTGCCTCTTTTTCAAAAATTGAAAAATCGGCTAAATATGGACGAAAAGTAAAGGGTATAGCCTTACTTTTATGTTTTTTTGCCTCTTTTTCAAAAATTGAAAAATCGGCTAAAAATGGACGAAAAGTACCTTTACTTTTCGTCTATAGCCTTACTTTTTGGCTGTTTTTTTCCTCTTTTTCAAAAATTGAGAATCGGCTAAAAATGGCCATATATAGCATTGGTTGTTGGTAGTGTAAAAAAAAGTATTGAGGAATACAAAAAGTGGCAAAAAGGGTGAAAATCTAAATGCTAATCCCTCAATTTTTTGCCTACAAAACTTGAGGACCATTGAACAACTTGATTTTTAGTTATATTTGAGCCCGGTTTGGGAAATAGGCAAAATATCATTAATATAGGTTTTGCGTTTAATTTTCGAGGTCGTTTTGAACAGATAAGGGACCGATGATTATTTACGGCCGGGGGGGGGGAGGGCACTGAAGTTCTCTTTGGCCATATTTGTTAGTGACTCAACCTTCAAAAAATTTTTTTTCTAAAATCTTAGACCCATCCTAACTTAATTTTGTCAATTTACTTATTTAAAAGCTAAATTGACTTATTTGAGTTTTGGGAGAACAAAAAAGCTAGCAAGTATAAACTGTGTCACTTTATCATGACTGTTATGGCAGGTTCAAATGAAATACTTTGCAAATCGATATATAAAGTAAATTATATTTATTCGATCTTAATAAAACAAATATTATATAGAAATATTTTATTATTTTCCGACTTAATGATTTTTACTTTACCCACCCCTTGGCTTGGTCAATTTTTATTCAACCCACCCATTTCCGCCCATAAAATTTTGTTTGCCCACGTCCCATTTTCTCTTCGGGGCCCCCCTGGCCATAAATAATGATTGGTCTCTAAAGCCGCGACTAGAGTGGAGTAAACATTTCTTATATTCAACCAACCTTGTTATTCGTTTTCCAAGATGCACAATTTTGGATTCATTCTAACCAATGAAATGTATGGAAATATGTCACATGTTCGTAATGATATCCCTCCAAATCCATGAATTTCCTCCACTATCCTGTGCGTCTTTTCAAATATTCCACATGGTGCTTCCACAATTAGATGACTATATTCCTCTAGTTCTTCAAAATTCCCCTCAATGTTCTCTTTCTTGAAATATCTACAAAAGGTTTGCATTATTTAGAATCTCCTACATCAGCAGTCCTGTCGACCCTCTGATCCCCTTTTGGTTCCGACTAATTTCATTCAATGTCCTCCTTTGCCTCTCTCCTTTGGGCCTGTGGTCCCCATTCATCCCATGCCCCCCCCCCCCCAGCCTTGCTTTTTTGGGCCTGTGGTCCCTCTTTGGTTTCAAACTAATTTCCCTGAAATGGTCCTCCCTTCAAGTTTTCCTTGCCCCTTGCCCCTGCATTCCAAGCTTTGGTTTCAGAAAATATTCATCCAATGGCTCTCCATTCGCCCGTATGGACCCCCATATGGTTTCCCAGTCTTTCCAAGAACATGAAAAAAGCCAAACTTGTTCAACATGGTCAAAAAATATTTTCGTTCATCAAACCAAAGATTTCCACTCATAAAAACATGAAAATGTATACCTAATGGTCCCGTTTAACTCGCGATTTGCCCTTGTGGTCCTCCTCCCACCAATGCCCCTCACCCACCCCCATTGCTAACGGTTTCAAAAATTAGAACAATACCCAAAAACTATTGTGGACAAACCTCCAGTCATTCCTTAACTCCCCAAATCTTGACACGCCAGTCTGAGCTGCAAGATTACATATATGGACATTCACTGGCTTTGATGAGTCGGCAAAATTGTGATGTAGTTTTGCAAAGGCCACTCCACCAGGATAGTTAAGTGTCGATATATACACCAGGATATTAGTGAACACAATATTTGATAATAGGCCACCAAGAGTAAATACTGTAAACAAAGTCTGAACTATAGATTTCCATTTCGAGATATTTTGGTAACTAAAAATTAAGAAAAACTTGAATTAGCTGTGCATAATTATAGATATTTATCAAAACCTTTACAAGTCCAAAGTAACTATTGTTGTCAGGATAAGGGAAATTTTTGAAAAATTCAAAACAGCAAACTTTCTGAGAATTTAAAGATGTTAGATGCGAAACCAGGATTCATATTAAAAGTTTTAAACGTTCAATGGTTAATTAAAAATATTTATTTGGACGAGCTTTCAACTGCCAAGACTGCAGTCTTTGACGGGTAGATAAAAGTGAATGATGTGATATTTACAGTGGTTTACAATTACAATATACTGACACAACATACAATTATTGACAGTTCTGCCTACGTACAAGATTAATGACTATTCACATTGACCTAAGGTGACCAAAGGGGGACCACAGAAATTTTTAAAAAAAATTATAAGTAGCCCCAAGCCGCTCCAAACATTCTGAAAATTGTTGAAAACCATTTCTCTCATCAAAACAGTTAGTTGTGATTGATCAAAACATGTTTTGAAACTTTTCCGTAAAATTAATGCAATAGAGGGAACAAAGGCATTCCTAAAGTGACCAAAGGGGGGACCACAGGAAATTTTTAAAAAATTCATAAGTAGCCCCAAGCCACTCCAATGCAAACATTCTGAAAATTGTTGAAACCCATTTCTCTCATCAAAACAGTTTGAGTGATCAAAATATGTTTTTATGAGTTGAAAGTAACTGTTTTGAGGAGAAATTAATGGTTCTCAACAATTTTCAGAACATTTGGAGCAGGTTGGGAGGACTTCTTCAAACTGGGTTCAGGGCTTCAAATTTAAATTTTTCAGAAGTATCCAATGGGATACTATAGCAACTTAAAGTCTGGTATCCACCCAGAAATCTACTATCCCACATTTGCAAAACATATTTTCGTTCATGAGCATTACCCATGGAAAGGATTTTTTTAAGTCATTTTAAATTTTTGACAACGCTTTGTTTCTTAGGGAGTGGTCATTATTTATGGGGAGGGGGGTTGGGAAATGGGGAAAATAAGGACTTTTTTGACCCCCCCCTCCAGACTGAAGGCAAACTTTTTGTGCCTCCCCGCTCATAAAAGTAGAAACTTTTCTGACACCCCCCCCCCCAGTGTGGATTGAAAAATTAACAGCAATGAAACAGGTGTGTGTTGCAGGTAAAGTTAGATATTAGGACAATCTGTTTAATCTAGCTCATGATGTTTTACCCTGGTGAATATGATTCAACCATATATGATTAAAAAATATATATTATGTGTTACTACTTTGCAATGCAACATTTGTCCTACCATAACCCTAACCCATGACCCGTCTTCATACAGCGAAATGATTTGAACACAGGGTTTTTTTAAGAACTTGTCTGGGGGTGGGCATCTACAAAAAGGGACCATACTATATTGAGTGTGGAGAGATGACAGATGGTTGTTGGTGACAAAAAGTTTGGTGTGGTATCGTTTTTTGTATCGTAAAATTTTTTGTATTTTTCCACCCCTAGGACTGAAATGTGAGCATTTTCTGAAACAGATTTTTGGATATACAGCGTTACATTGTGCGTTGATAGACCGAATCTGATCAGTTAAGTGTACTTGCATGGTATGTTTATGTAAATACCACAACTGGGTCACTCAGGGGGTAGAAAGCTTGTTAAACTTAGTGGGCCCGACTCCCACGATCGCGAGGCGCTACCATGGTTGGCGCCGAGCAGGGAAATTTTGAAAATTTTGAGTCTCTAGATCGTTGGAAATAGCATTTTCAGAGTCTTCTTTTTTGCTATTTGTGATTATAGAAATCAGAACTCTAGACATGGTATTTAAGTTCAAAAACTTTTATGACCCCCCCTTTCTCTGTTAAAACTTTTTTGACCCCCCTATTTATAAGGGTAAAACTTCGTTTGCCCCCCTCCCATTCCCCCCCCCTCCCCATAAATAATGACCGCTCCTTTATAAAAAAAAATCTGATTGAGCTTGATCGTAGGCTTGATGGAACATCGTACTTCTAAGGGATAAATAATCACAGTGATTGTTATTTTGGCAATATCGATTGAGCAGTATCGTAAAATTGTCTGACTTGTACAAAGATATTCCTATATCAACCCAGTGTAGATTGTTGTTTGCACATATTAACTTACCAGCAGTTACATGTATAAATAACATGTCAAGTTGTCAACCGACTTTTGTAAAATGTATGACGGTTTGTAAAAATATATCTCTGCGATATGTCCATTGTTTAATAGCATAATATGAAATAATCCTACCAGCCTACGTTTATATATTCACCTGACTGTCACTAAAGTACTCAGTCTCAGAGTACACTATATTTTTTGATAATGCTCACAATTGTATTATATAGTTTTGCAGTTCTGACTGAGTACAATCTTGGGGGCTGATTACATGGAGAGTTTTCACCCCGGTCTGAGTTTCAGCCCGGTTAAACGAGCTGAAATTGCATCACGATTACATGAGCAGTTTGAGCCTGGGCAGAGTTTAGTCAGAGGATCAGAGCTATATTTATAGTCAACCCGGGCTGAGGCTGAAATAATTTGAGTGTCATGAAATAAGACAATAAACCTGTTATGCTTCTTTGAAGCAATCAGACGCTGATTAGTCGACTATTTGACTTGTGTGAGACTGTGGTTATATGTAAAGTATTTAATAGAGATGAAACAAACACGCAAAATAAAGCCATTTAAACGGTTGTTTTTTTAGCCCGGGCTGAAATTATTTGCGATTACATGCTGCCGGGCTGAAATTATTTGCGATTACATGCTGCCGGACTGAGTTTCAGCTCGGGCTGAAATTTCAGCTTGGGCAGCTCAAACCAGGCTGAAATTTCAGCCCGGGTTGAAACTCTCTCCATCAAGCACCAGCAGATTGTTCAGTTGTTTTGCAATAGGCGTAGCCTTGAAGTACTGTTTAATAAACGAGTAGGAGTGTTTTATCACATATAAAACACGACGCGTAGCGGAGTGTTTTATATGTGATAAAACACGAACTACGAGTTTATTAAACAGCTTCAAAAACGTCTCAGTTAGATCACGGCATTGGCGAAATAATTTTCCAAAATAAAACTTTGTATTAGCTGAGAAAATACAAGTTGAAATTTGAAGCGTGTTTTTATCACATATAAAGACACGCCACACTTATGATTTCTCTTTATGTTTTCCTCATGAATTATTAATGAGTTTTTGAAATAGTGTTTTATAATCAGGTCTAAAGCCACTGCACGGGACATATTATGGTTGACATGATTTGCCAATAAGCTTATGAATTACAGTCGAACCTGTATTAAGCGGTCACCCTCGGGGATTTCGCAAGTGACCGCTTAATACAGGTTGACCGCTTAATACAGGTCTTGTACAAAATCACCACACGGCTTAAATATAACATTTAATATAACTAAATTTGAACTAAACAATAATATATTTCAATACACTTACCAAGTAACCAATTAAAAAGTATATAAAACTGCAAATTGTTTCTGAGTTTCAGAACTGCAAATTGTTTCTCAATTGTTTCTGAGTTGAGACTACATGTACTACTATAAAATAAAAATGTCAGAGCTTAAACCGCTGAAAAATAGTCATGAATTTTTGTTTGTTGTTGCGGACTGCTCAGTTTAATTTGACTCAACAAGTCATTCACCTTTGACATAGCAAGCGAAAGCTCTTGGTGTCCGTTAAATTGAGCAAATTTTCGCAATTCATCACCGAATTCCATCGCTTCTCGCACTGTTTTTTAATATGACATCGTCAGAAAAGCATTTTTTCAAACCAGACAGCGTCTGGCCAAACATGAAATAAGGAAGTGTCGTGAAATTTGACACGCGATTTGGGCAATCTACCAGCTGATTCATTTTTACAAAAACACTAGTTACACTACCGACATTCTGGTTATAAAGTATAAACATGCATGCTGCAGAATCTGAGACTAAAGTAAATTACACTGAAAGGAATTGAGCAACACTTCAAGTTAACTTAGTCCGTTTATTCGGGGATATCATGCGTACATGGACGACTGGGAACCAAAACTCGATGAGGAATGTTCACTTAAGCGCAGTTGGACATGCCCCGAAACTTATGGCACTATGGCTGACAAAGTTTTTAAAACGGCAGACAAATTCTGGTAAAATACATAATCGTCAAAGGAAAGCGTGTCAACAGAGGAGGTGGTTATGGCTTAGAAATTCCGTGCGAGTATCACTTTCATGGACTAGATACATTTTCGTGTCAGTGGCTGAAGGGAAAGTTGACACAAGAAAAATTTAAATTGCTTGAATAATACGTCCACACGGACTGAAAAGACTGTTGACACTTTCAGTGATTACGGAAGTTCGAGTAATGAGATAAACACAACTTAAAACATTGACATTTTGCCGAATAAAGATTTAATTATAATAATATATTGTACTAGAAGTTACTATCGCAAGGAAAATGCTGCCTCACAACCAAGGGATGGCACCATGCGCAATTTGCTGAATAAGGGGTTGTTTATACGATCCCGCTTCGCCAGGACGAGGTATGAGGCAGGACAATTCAGCAAAAAAACATTTTCTAGAGATACAGTAGATTATAGTTAACTGTACACAAAAGGTTGTTCAAGCAGCAATTATGTAGTAGTAGTAGTAGTAGTAGTAGTAGTAGTGGTAGAACTTTATTTATCCACGCTGACCCCGTCAACCGTAGCTGATTTCCACGGGGGGCGTGTGCCAGAAAATTATTTTACATGCAGAATATGATAAGGTAAGCTAAGCTATTACAGTAATATATAAATTTAAAAGATATAACAAATGTTTTGAGCTATTTACAGGTAAGTTATATTTACAAAGGTTACCAAGCACTAATGTGAGAAGCGATTTTATTTCGAAAGGAAGAAAGTGACTTGCTTTCCCTAATTTCTTTTGGTATAGAATTCCAAATGTTTGCTCCGTCGTACATAAAACTATTTTTCATGCTATTTGTACGTGGTTTTGGTAAATAAAGACCACTTGAGACATCCC